GGAGGAGGCGGAGGAGGAGGAGGAGGACACGGAGGAGGATGAAGTTCAGGTGATCGACATGAAGAAGGAGAACAGCGAGGTGTCCTGCCTCAAGCAGCCAGACAGCGTCACGGGGACATCTTCCCCCACCAGCCCCAGCTGCAACTCCCAGCTGGAGAAACCTGGGGAGCAGCCCAGCCTGGGGAAAAAAAATGATATCTCCAGACACAGCTACTCCAGATACAACACAATCTCCTACCGGAGGATCAGAAAAGGAAACACCAAGCAGCGAATCGACGAGTTTGAGTCCATGATGCACTTATGAACTGAGGTGAGGAATTGCTGAACGAGCCCACGAGCCAAGCGCTCCCCCGGGCTCTGGTTCTCTTCCTGGCTCCCCCAGGACGTGTCTCCTGGCACAGCATCAGGTCACTGCTTTTTCCCTTTTTGTATATGATTTGGTAATACACTGGGAGAATGTAACATTTTCGCTTTGGCAGCGGGCGGAGGCATCCCTAGCACAGGAAAATAAATAATCACTTTGCTAAATACAATACCACCCCATTTAAAGTTTATCCTCTTATTTTCTAGCCAGCTTTTGTCCCTGTGTTCAAACAATGGGATGCCTTGAGCTGGGGCCTCTCACTGCCGCTCACACGTGAGCCGTGCCACCAGCCACGCTGGCAACCAGCTGGCACCCCCCCAGAGCAGGCAGGGGACTAGGAACAGAGGGGACTGTTTGCCACTGGGGTCTCCTTGCTCTTCATTGGATCCTTTCTCTGTCTCCAGGCTGGTTCTTCTTCTTCACATCTCGAGGGTGCAGCTTCTGCTGAGACTGTGGCCCCTCGTTTTTCGCAGGGTGCAGGGTCTCGAGGCCTCCCTAAGTGTAAGTGCAGCAGAAGCTCACAGCTTGTGGCCCAAGGCTTCAGTAAGTCCAGCAACTCAAGCTCAGCAAGTTCCTCACGCTAATCAAAGCAACACAGGTTTAGATTCAACTAATCTTAAGGGATTACAAATTTAATGCTAATGTCCTACAAGTAACCGAGTTTAATCCCCAGCAGGCTGGTGGGGTGGAGACACGTGTGCTTCCATGGGCCACTGCTGATGGGCAGGGGTTCAAAAAGATGGGAAGGCACCAAGGCCCCCAGTCCCCCACTGCCACCCCAACACCTCCCACGGGCACCTGGGTTTGCTGGGCCAGCACCAGGCAGGATGGGCCCCGGGCAGCCATGGGCAGTGCCACTGC